CAAATAGGTAAAAACTAATGGCGAATCGAATGGACATATTTTCGAGATCGTCAGAGGATCTCTAGAAATCCTTTTCTTCAAAAGACATCTGGAAAAAGATGCTGGCGAGCAAATATAATGTCAAGATTATATGCTGTCCTAAATATCATTGTGAATTAAACGCAATTGAAGGTCTTTGGTGCAATCAAAAGGCATTTGTTCGTTCACGTACAGATCAAAGTTTTGAAAAACTGATAAAATTAATAGCGGATTCTCGTATACATTTTGTCCAGTGAAATATTACATTAAAATTATTTCGCCGGTTTTGGCGTTCAATCGAAGCATATCCTCAAGGTCAAACATATGCTGATGTGTTAAAGTTGTTTTTCAGTCAACTTTGCAAAACATCAGTCCAATCACATCGTAGAATATCAAATAAAAACATAAACGAATCTTAACGAACATATTATTTTTCATTTCAGTACATTTATTGAGTGTGTTTCCGTTCATATTATATACCCAAGCATAAAGAATCATTAATACATCCATTAAAGATCATAAAATATCGATTCATATCACAAAACTATGTCTTTTGAAGAAAAGGATTTCTAGAGATCCTCTGACGATCTCGAAAATATGTCCATTCGATTCACCATTAGTTTTTACCTATTTGAAGCGATTTTCACTCGGTTTGAAGAGAAAATAGTCATTTTATTCACAGATGACCTTCCCCCTTATCGTATCATAACAGTAAAAGTGATTTTTCTCAACACAGAAAAGAAAAGAAAAAAACGAATACGTAACTTTGTAACTGGTGGTATGATGAGTCGAATGAGATAAAACATTTGCCTTTATCACTTACGTAGAAAAACTAGATAGGTTTACAAAATCGACCAATATGTGGTGCACTCGAGGCAATTCGAAACGCCACCATCGGTAGGGTTTGGGGTCCAGAGTCGATTTAAGAACTTTCTTATATTCAGTTTTTTATGCTGAATCTGGAAAAATTATGTTCAGAAGCAAAAAAGAAGAATGAAGTAGAAAATTTTGCACATTTCGAGAAAGAACGTGTTTTTCTCGAAAACGACACCTTTCGAGTATTTCGTATATTTCGACCAGAAGGAAGCATTTGCTAAGGCTAAAAAGTAGTTTTTCGTGATCAGCAGCTCAAGCTCTATCCACTGATGTAAAGAAAACATGAAAAAACTTTTACTGAAAATTCGCATTGCCGGCACCTTATATACGGACATATATCATGTGTAAAGAACAAGAACTGCTGAGTTACAGAAGAAGAGCGAAGCCGAAAATAATACAGATTCTGAAAGCTGTTCCTTCCTCTTCTAAACAATAAAGAGTAACAGAAAGATCAAATATTACATAGACAGGGAGTAGAGAGGAACGAGTTCTCCGATGCCAGAATAATCTGATACGTTGAGATAATGGTGTAAAGAAGTAAATAGTACAAGTTCGAAAGAGAAATGATATACTTTCCAAATTCAAGAGCAACGTAAATTCATAAATGAGAACGGGTAGTTTTTCGTGATCAACAGCTCAAGCCCTATCCACTGATATAAAGAAACCATGAAAAAAAAATTTACTGAAAGTTTGAATTGCCTGCACCTTACCTACAGGTCTAAAAAGTTCTATGAGGTCTGGAACCATTCTGACCTCACCAAATTATTCAGCGCATCGTAAAATACTAGAATCAATCGATTCTGAGCACAACAAGTAAGGAAATAAAAATTGACCAAATCCTTTTCTTAGCCGGGTTCATCCTTTATACTACACCAATTGATTAACGAACAAACATCGTCAGATAATCTGTAGCGAAAAAACCAAATGTAACCGTGAACAGAAAACTTATTGAGATCCGTTGACGATTCGTCAATGGCTACGGCAAGCTCCGGGTATGTCTCGAAGTGTTTGAAAACCAGAAAACAAGAGTTAACCGTTTCTGATGGCCATCCGTGATGCATACGAATAGAGGTAGTCCCTTTTTTCAACTAAGCATTACCCTCAACGTGCTTCTCTGTTGCTACTGGCAGTTCGGGTCCTATCGCTTTGTTTCGTTTCAAAATGACAGTCAAAACACAAAGTAGTGCGCTTATACACCAATTAGTACATAAACCACCCATTCGCATTTTTAATCCCGATAATACCGCTGCATCTTTAACTCCATGTCCAAACGCGACACAGGCCAAAACAAATGTCAATAGAGCCATTGTGACTATGCTGTTTAGTTGGCTGCAGAACGGTAAAGACTTTATTGCATGCTGCGTGCATGCCTACTTTTCTTTCTGTTTGTTCTTGTGAGTCATGGGTTTCTACACAAGTAGTATTCGGTGTATGTTGCAAATAGAGATGAAGTACAAAGACAAATATGTTGTTTAACCTTGGGTTGTTTGCAACAGAAGATAAACTATCACTTCACATTGTGAACAGCTTCACGTTTGTATTTAGCATTGATGGCAAAGGAATATGTTCACGATGAAGCAAAGCCAAATCAGCGTTATTCAGATATATTGAATGAACCACGGAAGTTGTTGTTGCCAATCGATGGTTATCAAAATGTTGCTTTGATATCTTTAGAAGAAGCAGTTAGGAATATTTCACATTTATTAGATAGTGATATATCTACCAAAGTTTATATAGCAAAAGAGAACAGTCGTCATCCTGAGGATGGACTTACACCAGACGAATCTGCGTCCATTCATCTCTATACAATGGAATCTGTTGAGGACGGTGTAAGTTTGTATTTCATTTTAAATAAAACACTACGACTGGAAAATCGCCAGCATTTAAAACCGTGGTTTCCATATCTGAAATTGTTATTAACGGGTTTATTCAAACTAAAATCACAGAAGAAAACTGTATGGCGTGGCATTAATGGCAACCTGAGTCAAGAATTTGATCAGGGTGCGAAGTTCATTTGGTGGGGTATCAGCAGCTGTACAGAATCATTAAATGTTCTAGAATCCGAACAATTTCTTGGTAAAACCGGTACACGAACACTGTTTAATATTGAATGCTTGAACGGAAAAATGATAAAGAAGCATTCATATTATCCAGCAGAGGATGAAATTCTTCTTTTACCGGCAACACAGTTCGAAGTTGTGGGTAGAGTGCAGCCTGCTGCCGGGCTCTACATTGTTCAATTGCGAGAAGTAATACCTCCCATTGTATTTCTAAAACCCCCATCAGGTTATTCTGCACTTTCCATCGAGGACGCTACACCAGAAACATTACCAAAACCCTCAAAAACCTTAAAAGCAGGCAATAAGGACTTAGCCAACACAGAGCCAGTTAATGTGAAACATTGTACAGTTTCTGCGAACGTCGATACATCACTTTTAGTCAATCTCCAAAATCTGAGACTGTCAAAAACCGAAAAAGAAATGGTAGCAACAATTCTTTCTGATTCCGGAACAACGCTTTATATTGGGAGCAACCAGATATCATTTGAAGGTAGAAAAGCAATTGCAGAAGCCCTGAAAGTCAACCAGACATTAATAACGCTTAATATTGAGGGTAACCAGATATCATCTGAAGGTGGAAAAGCTATTGCAGAAGCCTTAAAAGTCAACCAAACATTAACAACGCTTTATATTGGGAACAACCGGATATCGTCTGAAGGTGGAAAAGCTATTGCAAAAGCCTTAAAAGTCAACCAAACATTAACAACGCTTAATAATGAGGGCAACCAGATATCATCTGAAGGTGGAAAAGCAATTGCAGAAGCCCTGAAAGTCAACCGAACATTAACAACGTTTAATATTTGGAACAACCAGATATCATCTGAAGGTGGAAAAGCTATTGCAGAAGCCTTGAACGTCAACCAAACATTAACAACGCTTAATATTGGGAACAACCAGATATCATCTGAAGGTGGAAAAGCAACTGCAGAAGCCTTAAAAGTCAACCGAACATTAACAACGCTTTATATTGGGAACAACCAGATATCATCTGAAGGTGGAAAAGCAATTGCAGAAGCTTCAAAATTAAATGGCATATGCTCAGTTAAGGGTGTATGATGCGTTGTGCAAGCCGCTGAAGTCGGCGAGCAAAACGAATAAAAAGTGTTTTGTGATTGAGACGGTAAAATTAGAACTGTGTGGGGTGTTTTTTTTGCTTTTTGTTTCATTTCTTCGTTTGGTACTTTTACTGGTGAGGGTGAGTTGCTCACATCAGCAGAGAAAATATTGTTTAAGGAATTAGGTCTTTACAGAGTTGTTGTTGGCGAGGGTACCTATGTTAATGGGTTCTACTGATCTTTTGTGCGTGATTAGAGATCCTCCTTAGTTTCATAGGGAAAAGTGATCGGCAGTTCGAGTAGCACAGCGGCGACCTATGAAGAAGTCTAGTTTTAAGCGTATAAAGCTTGCTGCTAGGCTTCGTTAAGTTTCCTATTAATACGTCTGGTAGAGCTTTTCACGGCGCATCGGATCATGTATTGCACTAGGCTTAATCGCTATGATACCGAGGCAAAATCTGCACCTAGCTCTTTTCTTCCGCGAACAGTAAAAGATTGAAATAAACTACCCTCTGTTTTGCTGTGTCATTCTTCTCTATCCACATTTACAAATATGTTGAGAAAAAAGGGTAGACAAATAGAGTTTCAGTAATGTCGTATGTAACCGCAAACGTCTAACACATACTTCTGTTATCTTTCAATGCATATGGTTGTGCTCATCTACTTTTCGGTAATTTGTATGGCAGGGAAATAAGTTTGGCACAGTTTGAGTCTAAAATGTTATGTTTCCGCTAATGCGGATTGGGTGCTGCGAATACATATTTTGTGTTTGCCTATCGTGAACAGATTTATTGAGGTTGTGGTAAAAAGACATAGAAATAGAAACAATATTCACGACCAAAATGGATTGCCGCTTAACTTCAAAACATTACATTGTCCATTACCGTCTTCATAGACAACTTTCCATATCATTTCAATCACATATTGGGGAACCTACACTTACTGCAAGTTCATTTCAAACCAGAAAAAACCAGCCTTGCGGCGCATACAATATCCAAAATATCCTAAATATCCTACGTATCTTAAATACCCTAAATATTCTAAACATCGTAAATATCCTACATACCTTAAATACCCTTAATATCCTAAATCTCCTAAATCTCCTAAATACCCTACCTATCCTAAATATCTAAATACCCCAAATATCCAACATATCTTTGAGATACTTAGGATATTAAGGATATTTACGGTATTCAGGATATTTAGGGTAATTAGCATATTTAGAATATTTAAGATATTTAGGATATTTAGGGTACTTACGATATTTAGGATATCTAGGATGTCTAAGATATTACGGATATTTAGGGTATTTACGATCTGTAGGGTACTTACGATCTTTAGGGTATTTACGATCTTTAGGGTACTTACGATCTTTACGGTATTTAGGATATTTAGGATATCTGGATATTTAGGGTATTTAGGATATTTACAACATTTCGGACAATTAGGATATTTAGGATATTTAGGGTACTTAAAATATCTAGGATATCTAGGATATCTACGATATTAAGGATATTTAGCGTATTTGGGATATTTACGATATTGAGGGTATTTAGGCTATTTGGGGTATTTAGGGTATCTAGGACATTTAGGATATTTAGGGTACTTAGGATTTTAAGGGTATTTAGGATACTTAGGATATTAAGGGTATTTGGGATATTATATCCCACCCTCAACTGAAGTATCCTAAACATCCCTAATATCCTAAGTATTCTAAATATCCTAAATATCCTAGATACCCTAAATACCCTAAGTATCCTAAATACCCTAAATATCCTAAATATCTTAATACCCTTAATATCCTAAGTATCCTAAATATCCTAAATATGGTAAATACGCTAAATACCTTAACTATCTTAAGTATCCTACACACCCTAAATATCTTAGATACCCTAAATACCCGAAGTATCCTAAATACCTTAAACAGCCTAAGTATCCTACGTCTCTTAAACACCCTAAATATCTAAATATCGTAAATATCCTACCTATCCTAAATATCTAAATACCCCAAATATCCAACATATCTCTGAGATACTTACGATATTAAGGATATTTACGGTATTCAGGATCTTTACGGTAATTAGCATATTTAGAATATTTAAGATATTTAGGATATTTAGGGTATCTAGGACATTTAGCATATTTAGGGTACTTAGGATTTTAAGGGTATTTAGGATACTTAACATATTATGGGTATTTGGGATATTATATCCCACCCTCAACTCAAGTAACCTAAACATCCCTAATATCCTACGTATCCTAAACACCCTAAATATCCTAGATGCCCTAAATACCCTAAGTACCCTAAATATCCTAAATATCCTAGATACCCTAAATACCCTAAGTATTCTAAATATCCTAAATATCCCAAATATACTAAATACCCTAAGTATTCTAAATATCCTAAGCATCCTAAATACCCTAAATACCCTAAATACCCTAAGTACCCTAAATATCCTAAATATCCTAGATACCCTTAATATCCTACGTATCCTAGATACCCTAAATACCCTAAGTACCCTTAATATCCTAAGTACCCTAATTACCCTAAATACCGGAAATACCTTAAGTATCCTAAATACCCTAAATATCCTAAATAGCTTAAGTATTCTAAATGTCCTAAATATCCTAGATACCCTTAATATCCTAAGTATCCTAAATACCCTAAATACCTTAAGTATCCTAAATACCCTAAATATCCTAGATACCCTAAATACGCTAAATTGCCTAAGCATCCTAAATACCCTAAGTATGCTAAATACCCTAAATAGCCTAAGCATCCTAAATGCCCTTAATATCCTAAGTATCCTAAATACCCTAAATACCTTAAGTATCCTAAATACCCTAAATATCCTAGATAGCCTAAATACCCTAAATGGCCTAAGCATCCTAAATACTCTAAATACCCTAAGTATTCTAAATAGCCTAAATATCTCAAATACCCTTAATATCCTAAGTATCCTAAATATCCTAAATATCGTAATTACATTAAATACCCTAAATATCCTAAGTATTTTAAATATCCTAAGTATCCTATAGAGCCTAAATACTCTGAATATGATAATTGTACGTAATACGTGCTTTAGGTTGTTTGCGGAGTGATTGTTATGTGTTGAGGCTGTTTGATTTGTCGAGATTGAACTGGCTATATTTGTTAATTTCAAACTATATTCCGTTACAGTTCCAGTACAATTTCGCATATATCCCGGACAATAGATAAAGATTAAGCTTCTGCCCGAACTCGAAATCAAGAAACGTCTCCTTATATTTTTTAACGCCAGCAACAACTCTGTAAAGACCTAATTCCTTAAACGATATTTTCTCTGCTGATTTTTTGTGCACAGAAAACAGCAAACCGTGCACAATTCTGGAAAAAACCGTGCAGAGAAAAATCCTCGTCCATGTATTATGTGTTCGAAAAAATGAAGAAAGAAAGAAAACTATAATTGATTGTTTTTATTTAAAGTGTTTCTTATCTTTTTAAAAGAAAAAGATGACTATGTTATTTGTTTTCTTTTCAGATAAATTAAATTTCGTTTTAAATTAAAACATACAGCTCAGCATGCACCAGTTGTTTTAACTGGTACCAGTTAAAAATAACTGGCGTTATGGCCATCACAAAAATTATTATAAGCCACCTATAAAGAATTATTCAGAGTCGCGGAACCACTCATTTTGCACGACACCCCGACCTTGATACGCGTCCTTTCGAATACGGTCTTGTCTGTATGCGGAGTAGCTCACAATGGCAAACTCGGCATCATCATTGTCCAGTGTCAAGAATATCTCTTGATACAAAGTACATGTGGCTTTTGTTGGTCTACAAACTGTTTCAATGAGAAAATGTTACATACTAGGCCTTCAGTATTATGGTTGGTTAACAAAAAAGAAGACGATGTATGCGATGGTGGTGGAGTACGAGGATTGGTATTTGTAGAGGTAGTAGAAGAGACGAGTTTGTTGGCCACACGACGGTTCTTCAACTTCATACTAAATATTATACATTTCATTCAACGCCATTTTGATACGAGATTCCATCAGTTTACGCCCAGCTGGACTGGAATGGATACCATCTTTGTCAAAATGATCGTCACTGAAATCAAATTTTACCAATGAAAAATCTTCGCTTTCTGATAGTGATCGTAATTCGGTGTTATATTTTTCAATATCAGCGTGTAGCGAATCAACGTACTTCTTCAGACCGATATGTGGACGTAGTGGGACGGTAGCAATGATGAACTTTTTGTTATTGTGTTTTTGTTTAAAAACTGAAACGAAGAGCTTCAGTTTGCCATTTCCCAACTTTCTAGGTAGTACGACTAATGTGAAAAACAAAACTGCACAAAAGAAGTGACATTGCTAAGCAGACGTACCAGTGAGTTTGCCTTCTGTTTTTGGGACGAAAATCGATGGTTGCGTTTCTATTCAATTCGCGCAGAGAACAGCAACAATGTGTGAAACAGGAGAACTGTCAGAGAAAAACTTATTTCAGGAAGCATCGTCGCTCACTTTTTTTCTTCGGTGGTGCGATGGAGCAGGAATTTTTAGGATAATTCAGAAGTGTGCTGTCAGCATTTCGGCATTTCATTGTTCGAATGTTCGAAAAGTAGGGTATTTTCAAAACGATGGAAGTCGAAAAGTAATTTTGGAGCAAGTAAAGAACTGATCAAATTGGACATATCACCACAGTGACAAGAAATCCTGAAACAACAGACATTAACTGGTTTCTTTTTGAAAGCAACATTGAACAGTGTTAGCCGTGATTACTTTTTTCTGAAAAAAAAATATTATTCTCTTTCTAACGAAACACAATTCGAAACTGTAAAATGAAAATGTTCTAATCTGTAGAGTAGTGACATTTCTGAATAAAACCTGTCGTTGTCAAGATTCCCTCTATGCGACAGAGAATTCCATGGCTTGATGAATTATCATATTTTTTCATTGATGAATTGATGATTCATTTGATGAATCATCACGTTTTTTCGTTTTACATTCACTAAA